TGGGCTGTGGTGGTCTGTCCTCCCGGCTGTCCTCGAGGGTCTAGAGTGTGCTGGGGCCACCCTGACCCTCTTCGTGTTCCTCCAGTGCTCCTGTTCTCTGCTGCCTCTTTCCTCCCCGCTCCTGGTCACCTGGCGAGATCCTGCTCATCCTTCCATTTACGTGGTGCTTCCTCCAGGAAGCCCTCCCTGCTCCACGCCCTTTCCGCATCTTCCCCAGGCCGGGTGCCTGAGCTGTGCTTCCCTGTGTTGGAACATTCAACGGAAGTCTGATGTCAGCTCCTGGCAGGCAGGGGACGTGTCCCTGCGTCACCCCCACACCCTAGAAGCCCAGCGTGATGCCTGGTGCACAGTGGGCTCCCAGATGTGTGGAATTGCTGAAACTTGTAGTTACCAAACGAATTTCTGATGGCATCCGTGAACGTAGCAGAGGTGCAGCTGGGGCGGGGTCCCAGGCTCACCGGGGTGGCCGGAGCCACGAACGTCACAGCTGTGGCAGCGATGCCTCTGAGAGCAGGGCCCGAGCGAGGGCAGGGTAGGGCATGTGTGCAGAGGGCTCCCAGACACCTGGCAGAGGTTTGGGACGAGAGCACAGATCTGTGGCTCTCCACACCTGGCTCACCTGTCCGTGCACATCACCAGGACTGCCAAGACCAGATCCGGGACATGGGCCCTGTCCTTGGGGGTCACAGCGGGGCTGCCCCATTTTGCATCTGAACCTCACGGGTGGGTGGAGGGCAGCAGGCAACAGGAGGGAGAGCCAGCGCTGTGGGCCTCCGTCCTTTCAGCTTTAGCCAGTTACCCCACCCCCATGCTGTTTGCCTAGGGGGTTGGGGAGGCGGGGGACTTCCTCTGGCTGGGGTCTCTGATCGCCATCTGGAATCACTGGGGCTCAGGCCGGTGCCGCCTGAGGCGCTAGAGCCAAGGAGGGGCGTGGGGAGGAGGTGGGGACTCAAGACGGGGAGTGGCCATCCATCCTGGACCTGGCATGCAGCCCCTTAGAACCCAGGTGAGGCTGGAGCACCTGCCGTGTCCCCAAAGACACGGCTCTGGATCCCACCCCACTTGACACACCAGTGTGGCCACAGTCACCCCCAGCACGCAGCCAGGGGATTCCCTGGTCAGGGAACTTCGGGGAACGTTCGGTTAAACCGGTCTCTTGACCGCTGGCTCTTTTAACCCGTGCGGTGCTGACGTGTGGAGCCCATGCTCCAGGCGGGCCGCCTTCATGCAAGCTGACTGTGTGTTAAAAGATCAGGGAGCATCTCCCAGACCAGACACACACCCGGTTGACAGAACCTGAATCAAATAGCCTGCGTTTGAGGCTGTATAACGTTTCAATAGTTTACATCCTTTTGGGGGCCCGGGTCTCTCTAGAAACCTCTGGTGGTGGTTTCCCTTCCCTTGTGAAGGAAAAGCGGGGCTGGAGATTCAGGCGGGTCCTAGAAGCCTCATTGCTCCATCCCCTGTTCGTCCCCAAACCCGGGTGTCAGCTGAAGGCACGCTGCTCAGTCAGCGACAGCCGGAGCTGTCTGGTGACGTGGGGCGGCTCGAAGGACAGTGGCTACCCTGAGGAGTGCGCCAGGCTGCGGGGCCTGGGGTGCGTGTGCCTGTCCTGTGGGGCGGTCCTGCTCTGCCCGTGATGGACTCGGCCCTCCTGAGCTGAGCGGAAGAAACGTGTGTCCCTTCGGGTTCTTGGTGGCGAACTGATGGAGGCTCATTGCCACGTTCACTGCAGTGATGGGTTTGTCCTGGCCGCCAGACCTGCCCTCCGCGGGGGTCCTGGCGGGCCCCAAGGTATGCCCCAGCACCCAGGCCTCCCAGTGCTAGCCTTTGTGGCATAGACATGTCACTCTGTAAGTGCTTGTGGAGCCATGTTCTACGGGAGGCTCCGGAGGTCCCAGGGGGTCCCCCAGAGGCCTGCTCTGTGGAGCTTCTGTTCCACGGAGGATCGACAGAGAAGCCCCCAGAAGCACCAGGCAAGAGTGCAGACGCACCCCTACCTTTAATCGGATGTCTCCCCTGAAGCTGTCTGCCCCCGGCTGCCTGCTCCCCGTGATTGCCATGGCGCCTTGCAGACGATAAGGGCTTAGTAAATATTTCCGTGGTTACAGAGCAGCTGGGGTTACCCGTGTAAAGAAGTAGGTGGGTTAGTTCCAGCGTTTACTGGCTGATGCCTGCACGCCAGTCTGGGCGCAGAGCTATGTCGGATGCCATGTCCTGGGTCTCTCAGCCTCCCCGACAGGTGGCCTCCACGTGACCCGTGCAGGCTGTAAGGCAGGGCGTGCTTAGGGAGCACAGTCAAGCGGGGCGCTTCCTGCAAGAGGCAGTGTCTGTACACGAGTGAGTGCTGGCCACGCGGGGGAAGGTGAGCACGTGCTCCAGGCAGAGCAGCTCAGCCGGGTGGGAGTCTGGGACGTGACAGAAACCTAGGCGTGCAGGGGACCACGGGCCCTTCAGCTGGAAGCAAGTGCTTCACACCGCGGTTCTGGCTGCTCTGCAGAGGCTGGGCTGAGGGCGTGAGGGGAGAGGCGGAGAGAGAAGGCGCCTCTGAACCAGGATGCCGGCGGTGGGGGTGGAGGACCAGGAGCCAGGTGTTAACGAGGGGGTCTGCGTGGGTCTCACCGGGCATGGTCTTCAGGCTGCTTTCAGAGCTTGGGCGCCCATGTGCCCTCCGTAGAGAGCCTCCCGCTTCCCCCTCCGAGCAGCGTGCCCAGGTGCAGGGCACAATTGCTCCTCCCTCAGGTGGACCTCTCCCCGCTCGCACCGGGGCCGTGCTACGCAGCCCAGAAGGTGCTGGGCAGGACCCGCACACCACAGGCGGCCTCCTGCTGGAACTCTTCTGTTCCCATCCTGTCCCGGGGACCCACAGGCGGCCCAGGCCTGCCACGGCTCCGCAAATCGCTGCAGCCCCTCTTGTCTGCCTGCAGATCACCCGACAGCCTTCACGGCACCAGAGCGCTCATCCTCCCCAATCCGGCTCATCGCTCTCTGCTCTCGTCCTTCTCGCTAGCCTGGCGGTCATCTCCACTGCGCCCTCCCCTTACTTGACAAATCCCTGCAGGGCACCACGTCCTCTTCTCAGACTGCGGGACACCAAGGGGACAGGGCCGTCTCCATTCTCCTGGACTTGGCATCTTAGAGGGGAAGACAGACTGTAGACCCGTGAACAGCTGGCGGGTCAGGTGGCGAGACCCGCTGGGAGGAAGGCGAGCATCTTCCTCCGCTGGGAGGCCGGTCCATGGGCTCTGCGCTGAGTAGAGTGTGTGACTGGTTAGCCTGCGGTGGCCAGGCCTCACCTCTCGGGCTGGAGGCAGTGCTGGGCTCCATCCGAAGCATGGGGCTGGGGAGGGGTGGTTCCCTAAAGAAAATGGGGGGCTGGGGAGCTGCTGAGCTCACCAGAACCCCCACTCCTTCCTGCGTTGTCAGCACCTTGCAGCCGGCCAAGGGGCAGATGCAGAAGTGAGGCTGGGCCTGCATGCTGGGCTCGTGGGGGGAAGGGCAGTCTGGGCCTCCCGTGGATGGCGTGGTGAGGATAAGCCGCTGCGTCCCCAGCGGCCCCCAGCATTCCTGCGCTGTCCTTTGTTGCCTGCGTAGGCCCATTCATTCATTCACGCCTCCATGGGGTTTGTCGCACGGCAGCTGCACGCTGTGCCGGGGAGATGGCTGCTTAGGGAAGCGTGGCAGCCTCATCGGCAGCCCCTCCGCCCTCCCCCGCCTCCGTAGCACTTTGGTCTTGTCCATGTCATTCCCCATGGTGCTCACTGGCAGCTGTGCACGGTGAGGACTGTCGCCGTGAATCAGACTCGGATGTGGTACGGCTTCAGTGAGCGCGGCAGGGGGAGTGGTCACCGTCGGCATCTTTTCTGCTTCTCCAAGGAGTCCGAGTTTGGGGGGCGGGGAGTGGGACGGTGTCCACTTGATGGTCTCAGTCTGGGCCCTTTCCCTCCTCCAGCCCTGTCCCCACCCATCTTTGTTGTGGGTGATCGCCGCCTCCTCACTGGTCTCCCCACATTGCCCTCTTCCCCAGGCTGCGCTCTCTTAAACCCTGAACCAGCCACTCTGCTGCCCGCTGCTATGACAACACTGCCCACATCCTTAGCACGGCCGTCGTCCACCCAGCGGGCTCCCTGTCTCCGTAGGGGCGAGCCAGCCATGCCGGCACAGCCGCCACTCTCCCTTCGGCTCTTCTCGGGGACGGCTCCCTGGCACTCTAGACCGGATGCCCACTGGCTCCCCGCACGAGCACTCTCACCAACTAGGAGCCGTATCCCGCCCCCGCGTGGCCGTCCTGCTGAGGGGAAGCTCTGGGCAGGCAGGCTCCTGGTCCATCTCCGGGACAGCAGGGCAGTGCGGGCGCCCCCTGAATTCCCCACTCCCCGGCTTCTCATCCACTCCACCCCCTGGGCCTTGGATGTTCCATGTACCCAGAGCCACCAGGCCCGCGTCGGCCGGGCCTCCCCCACGGGTCCTTGTCCAGGCTCCCCTCGCTGGCCGCAGGGGCAGTGGCAGAGGGCTGTGGATTTGGCTGCCCCTGGATGCGAGGCAAACGCTGTGGCTCAAGAATGACAGGCCGCATAGCCCTGGTCGCGTCGGGTGACAGAATGTCCCAAAGGGTGTCTTCGTTCAGCAGCGGCTCTGTGAGACGACCCTCAGCCTCTCTGCAACCCCGTGAGTCCTTTTCTTGCACGCGCACTCCCTGAGATCCCGGCGGAAGGTTGGGCTGACCTGACCGGGGAGCTCTCCAAAGGGCGGGAGCCATGTGGGCCGAGCTCCCGGGCCGAGCTCCCAGACCGGCCACCTGGTCTGCAAATTTGAAAAAAACCCAAAACCTAAACTAGTCTCCGACATTTGAAATTTGGAAGATGCCACATAAAGACCTGCCGTCTCTGGGCCGTGTTCCTGCGAGGCCACACTTGGTGGCACTCAACAGCGGCCGCCTCGGATGCCCTGCAGCCTGCCGCACCCCCAGCGCTCTCCCTCCTTCAGGGGCTCGGCCTGTCCTGAGTGAGTCTCGAAGCCTTCGCATCGGTGTGTAACACGCACACAGAAAAGTGCAGGTGTCCTGCCGTTAGGCGTCACAAACAGGACACGCCCCTGCGTCCCCCGCCGAGACAGTTTCCTAAGCGATGCGATGTTCTTTGAAGTTGCCAGTTTTATGTTAGGTTTGTGTTTTGTTTCTAATTTATTACAGACGAATGTAGCTTTGTTTACTGTGTGAATATAGTGTTGGGGGGAAAAAAACCAATTTTTCTTTTTGCAGAAAAGCCTGCCATTGCTCCGCCCGTCTTTGTGTTTCAGAAGGAAAAAGGACAAAAGGTAAGGCCGGCATGCTCTCTCCACGGGGCCTCTCCTTGTCCCCTCCCGAGGGCACTCCCAGACCCCAGGCCCCAGCGCGGGGGCGTCCGCCTTCTCGCACTGAGCTCAGAGGGACGGCGTCCAACGGGTGTAGGGTGCCCTGGGAGAGTTGAGATGGGTGTGTGTGGAAAGGGCCCAGAGACCCAGCTTTAAAGTCAGCGGGAGAAAGCTGCCTTCTGACGCCTGGTGATTCGTTTTAGAAATTCTGCTGCCCATTAGGAGAACTGGTAGGAGAGAAAAGGGTAGGGGAGAAAGCAGAGGAGGGTGACGGAGGGAGAGGGAGGGAGGAAGTGAGCAGTGGTGGTGGAGGGGAAAACAGGACTGTAAAGGTTTTAGGGGGATTTCTGACCCCGCTCAACTTGGCATAAGTGTATTTAGAATATTTGTGAGTTGGCTTGCATTGTGAGTTTACCATCCATCTTTGTTAGGTAGCTTCCCCCTCTTGGATTGTGTGTGTGTGTGAGAGAGGAAGATTGTCCCTGAGCTAACATCTGTGCCAATCTCCCTCTGTTTTGTATGTGGGATGCCACCACAGCATGGCTTGATGATCAGTGTGTAGGTCTGTGCCGGGGATCGGAAACCGTGAACCTCTGGGCCGCTGAAGCAGAGCGTGTGAACTTAACCACTGATGCCACTGGGCCGGCACCCCCCACCTCGCATTTGAAATGTCTGGACTGCACTGTCGTTGGAACTCCTTGCCCGATTCCTAGTGGCGGAAGGCCTGAGTGGTGCGGCAGGCACGTTGCGTCGTCACGTGTTCTGTTTACCTTGAAGTCTTTGGTGGGCTGTCCCTCGCTGACAGATCAGGGTGGAAAGTCGAGCTCGTGTCCAAAGTTGGTTGATGTTCTGCGGCGATGCCTCCCGAGCTTGTATGAGGGCTCCCTCTATCTGTCCACAGAATGGATGGTGCCTCCCCACCCATGCCCCAGGACGGCAGGTGTAACTTAATGCCCGTCGCAGTGACCAGGTGCCACGCTGGATTCCGTGCATCCAGAAAGGCCCTGCATTGTGTTAATAAGAGCGGCGTTTGAGAATCTCATGGGCCCGAGGGCTCGTGCTCCACAGGCGAGGTGCCCCAGTGAGTCCCCAGCCCCCTGCAGGGTGGCCCGCCTCAAGGTTGGGGCCTGCTGCTCTGGCGATTTGGGACTCTTGGCAGCCCGGCTCCTGCTCGTGGACTCCGTCCCTTGCTCTGAGAACACAGGCCAGACTTCTCTCTGTGCGGGCCCGCTCTCCTAGAAGCGTGAAAGCACTGTGCCGAGAGAGAGCGTGTGCACACAGGGGCCGGAGGGGGCAGCCACCTCACCCCGTCCTACCCCCTCGCAGGGGCTCATCGCCGAGGCTTGTACTCATGTCACACTTCCCTGCTGATCATTGCTGAAGAAAGAATCACGAAACCCAGGGAACGTCCTTCCTGTTTTGGTTTTCCAGGTGGCATTTTCCAGATCCGTCAGCCCCGGCCTTGTCCTCTCCCTGCCCAATACGTGCAGCTTCATCCCACTTGCTTTTCTCACCTGTCCTTCGGAGCTTCGGGCACCGTGAAGGGGCTGTGGCTTCCTCTAGCTTTTAGAAGTGGATATATTCGATTTCTGTTTTTGATGTGAGAGTCACTTCTCTCCAGTTTTTCGTGAAATAGAATTTTCTAGAATTTTGAATTTTATGATGATCACATTTGGAACCATTTTTCATTTAAAACAGGGGTCGGCAAACTCAAGCCTGCCATTGCCACCTGTGTTTTCAGTTATCTTGGCGCACAGCCATGCCCGTCCCCGTCCCCGTGCCCGGGGCTGCCTTCACGCTCTAACAGAGAGGAAACGAGTTTGGACTGAGACCATGTGGCCCAGAAAGTCAAAAATATTTAGTATCTGGTCCTTTACAGAAAAAGTTTGCTGACCCCAGATTTCAAACGAGTAATAGGAATTAATAATTCTTTAAACTTGAAGACTTTGGGACAGCCAGCAGAAGGAGACACTAAAATGTCCTGTTTGTCCGCCTGAATTGAAAACGCTCACTCCTCTTTCAGTACTGTTGTCACAGCTGAGGTGGGTCTGTGGCTTTGCCATCAAAGGCCGCCTTACGTGGACTAGCTTTAGAAGGCCGGCGTGTCTCACGTAAATTGGGAAATGGGTGACGGGGGACCAGAGAGGAGCTGGGAAGATGCTCCTCATCATCTTAAAATGTGCAAGTGCCGTTCTTATCAAAATATTGATCCAGAGCCAGCTCTAAATGGGCTTCTAAAAATAACTGCTCTCCAGCTCTTCCGAGTCGGCTCTCCACTTCTGTCACAAGGTCACTGACAGGGCGCCACAGACCCCTGTGTGTTTCACGGCAGAGCCGGGAGCCCGCGTAACCGTTCCTTAGGGCTGTGCCCTGAGCCGTCAGGTGGACAGTGGCAGGTGGACAGAGTCCCCCTTTCCTTCTCTGCTGCCGGTGACAGCACACAGGTGGGGCGGGAAGGGAACGGCTCTGGCACGTGCCACTCCTTTCTCCTCGGCTGCCTGCTTCCAGGGAGGCGGGAGGGCCGCGCAGCAGGGAGCAGCCACAGTACTTGGGGCAGAAATGGAAGGTCGCGGCCCCTCCACTCCCTTCTCTGGGCCGAGGTCCAGCCCGGTCCCCTCTCACGCCGCAGAAGCGCAGCTGGGAAAGGGCTGTGCGGGCCGCTGCTGGCTTGTTCTGAGCAAACTTCCCCCCCCTTTTCTCTTCGACTTTTTGTTTTGAAAACTGTCAGATCCCCAGAAAAGTTAAAAGAATGGTGCTGCGACACTTGGGCCTCCTTCCCCAGGCTGCACTGAACGTTTCTGTCGAAAGTGCTAGAAGCCCTCGGCTGTGCGTTGTGCCCACCTGGCGTTTCTCCCCTAAACACTCTGCAGGCATCTCCTAGGTGTGGGGCCATCCTCCCCATGGCCCCAGTGGCATGGTCACTCCTAAGAAAATGGGCATTAATTTGGAAGTATCCTTCAATATGTAGTCCATGTTTGAATTGTCCTAATTGTCACCAAAATGTTGCTTACAGCTATTTTTGAGCCGTTTCTTGATCCACAAAGATCTTTAACCTTTAATCTTTAATGATTTTTTAAATTGATCCACAAAGATCAAGAAGTCCCGGTGTTGACCACGGGACCATTAACTTCCCTTTCGGTAAACCGTCTCTGAACCAGCTGGTGGCATGCCTTCAGAGAGCCTGTGTCCCCACTCCAGAGGAAGGCGCCTCACAGCCCAGCTCTTACTGCTGCATTGTGATTGTGAGAAAAGGCTTGAAATTAGAAAGAAAACAATTAAGCCACCAGCCCAGGTGGGTTTCGTTTTTCTTTGGTGGTGAAGCCACACAGCATTTTATCTCATCTCCTTGGCAGTCCGAGTTGCATTCACAGCAAACCACAAATTGTGGGCAGTGGCCTGCTGGTGGCATCACTTCATCCCGGGCCGAGTGGTCGCCTCCTCCTGATGTCCCACCTTAGAGAAGGCGGTCAACAGTTCCGACAGTGTGAACTCCACCCCGACGCCCGAGACCTGGTCCCAGAGCCCTATCCCCTCACTTCCTCTAGGTGGCGCTCTTCGTGAGGTGCTCGCATTTGCGGGCATCTGTTTTAGGGGCAAAAATGAAACGTTTTCTTCTTAACTGCCCTGAGTGGAGACAGACCATTTTTTTCCTTTTTAACGTGAAGAGAGTATGAATCTCCTTGAGTAGGTGGTTTCATTGTTTGTGATGACTACATGATTCTTTCAGTTACTTTATGTTCCAAACGTCTGTTAAGTCAGAGGGGAGGCTGAGGTTGTGCTGGCACGGTCATGCTTGTTTGTGCAGGGACAGACGGCGCTGCCGCGCAGAAAGCCCCATGTCACGAGGCTGTCGCAGTGTGTTGTGACCTGGTTGTGGAGGCTGCTGTTGGCGGAGCCCGTGTGCGTGGTCATTTTGTCTGCCGCGTGTATTTTAGGGGGCGTCCAGGGCTGCCAACGTCTCGACATCTGGCGCTAACAAACCTGTTGAAAAACTCCAGGCGCGCTCTCTTCGGAGATTACTTTTCTCGTCCCGCAGAAACACTTGGACCCGAGTAGAAAATGCTGGAATGGCACTTGTGTTTCTTTTTTGTCCTCCGATTTAGGCTTCATTTCGAGCACCCCATGCCTCAAGGGCTTTTTGAACATTGATGTTCTGAAAGCAGAGATTAGAAAACCAAAACACCCAAGTCGTTTGATTCGGGGCAGGAGCTTTCCCAGGGCCCCTGGGTTTAATTTCCTCTCGTCGGTGTTCGATCTCCAGCCGTAAGTAGCCGCAGCCTGGTGCTCAGACCGGCCTGGGGCCCCGACAGGACTTGGGGACAGCTTGGGGAGGAAAGCCTTCCTGATGGGAAGGGTCGATGGGGGTGACTTTGGAGGCGTGCGGGTGACCTCGTATTGCGTTCTCTGCTTTCCTAAGAACGTGCGGAAGTTCTCTTAAATCCTCTCTCAATAGTCCGACAGGCTCACACATTAGAAATCAGGCCTGAGCCCCATCTTAGGAGGTTTTAGTCCCTTGACACCCAGAAGAGACGCAGCCACGTCTGCGGGGAGAGAGGGTGGCCCATAGTCAGAGAGTTCACAAAGTGTGGACAATGCCGAGCGGGAGGCGTGGGGACCTGTGTCCCTCTGTTCAGGACACCGGCCTTATAACCCGGTTCTCAACGAAAGAGTCTCAGCCGCGGAGCTCTCAGCCCACAGAAGCCCCTCCAGAATCCCCAGAACCACCTGGAAGGACGCCAGGGGTCTTGTCATTTCGAGGACGAAGACTTCTGGAACCGGCTTCCTGGCCCCGGCTGTTTTCCACATCAGCCCTTGCCCAAAGCGTTGGGGCGAGCCTGGGTGAACCCTGGGCCGAGGGGCTCCCCGTGCAGCTGCACTCTCGCCCGCCCCACCCTGCTAATGCAAAACCAGCTCTCCTGGTCTCCGCCGGCTCGTTGGGCCCCGCACCTGCACTCGGCGAGGCG